AATGAGTGCTCATCCAAGACTGGTGATTCCATACTTTTTGCCAGGGGTTGTATAAACTCTGATAAGGTGATAAGTTAAAAGTAAATATTCATAAAAGCATGATGTTTTTTTTCCATTTCTTCACATTTGATTTCTTTTCCCTCAAAACAGGAAAGACAGGAGAGCATATTATTTTTAGGAAAACAAAGATGATCCTGGGGTCTCTTTTAATCGTTAAAGGTTGTCTACATGCCACCCAGATGCTTGGGAGGGTATTAACCCTACTGTAACAAACGTAAACATGTACAGTTTGCTAAACTCTACTTGGACTTTCTGTTTTTTTGATCAGATTAGACTAAGCTGCATCTCAACAGTTGCTGATGATGTGTTTACTGAGTATGCAGGAGGGGTCCATCTGTTCCTGAGGTTCATTAAGCCCCGGGGAAATTAGAATCACCTGATTAAACCAGCCAATCCAGGTGTGGTGGTGCAGGTAGTCACACCTTTAAATTAAGAGTCTGGTTAAATCTGTCACTCAATGAGCAGTAAAATGACCCTGAAAAAGTTTAGTCTGTCACTTGTTACGTGAAGATCAAAACAGCTCAACATATGTTGCTCAGATTGTGTGGTCTACAGGTTATGGGACTAGACTTCAACTACAAAGGATAAGAGTTCAAATCTTGGAAAGTATGTATATTTTATCAGCCTCTTTCAAAGTCACCATCGAAAGCAGAAAAGATAAATATGCCACGAGAAACTTATGAAGTGTGGAAGGGCATGTGGTCCACAAGTTATGGCAACAGACATCAGGTACAAGAGGGATGAGTTCAAATCTTGATCTTTGTCTGAAAATAAAGTGGATATTCATGCTTAATTTGGTATTTAATGGGATTTTTAGATTAAAACACACAAAGTTAACCATAATGTCAAAATTAAGGCTAAATGTTCAGAAAAACATGATTTCTGCTCGAATTAGGTTTTTTATAATCAATTTAGTGTTGCTCCAAGAATGCACCGATTTCAAAGTTTTTTGCTGATACGGCCGATTTTTCAATTTCTTTGTTTTTTTATGCAAAAATCCAAGACAATGAAAAATTGGCAGTATCAGCAAAAAACTTTGAAATCGGTGCATTTTTATTCTAGGAATGCACCGATTTCAAAGTTTTTTGCTGATACTGCCAATATTTCTGTTTTCTTGTTTTTGGAATATCGGCAGTATCAGCAAAAAACTTTGAAATCGGTGCATTCCTGGTGTAAAAAATAAATTGATAGAAAAAACATATTTAAGCAGAAATCATCTTTCTGTGAACATATAGCCTTAATTTTAACTGATTATTATAAACTTTGTGTGTACAAATCAGAAATAACAATTATTTGCAGACCAAGGTCAGGATTTGAACCCATGTCTTTTGTACCTGAAGTCTGATGTCATAACCTGTGGACCACACAACCTTCCACACTATAGAATTTTCTTGTGGCGCATTTATCTTTCCAGGTGTCAATATTGACATGCTGACAAGACATATACACAGTGGCGCAACTACACGTTATTCAGGTGGATGCGAAAACATAAATCGGCGCGCCGCCCCCTCCAGACGGGGTTTTGACGCCCCCTCTGGATCTGGGTCTGTTCTAAAGTGGATTTCATCATACAGATCATTTGGAAAGTTTTAGTATTTTTTGTCTGAATCTGTATGGGAGCAAAAATCTAGGTGTTATTTTTGATTAAGTTGTTTCAAAACCTGTCATAATGCTTTTTTTTTTCATTTAAAATAGCACAAAGTGGAATGTCCTTGTTAATATTTGTGTTGAATTCAACACTTCTAATTAAAACACTGAATATTTTTCTTGTATGTGTTGCAGATCATCTAAAAGAAAACTGAAAATCTGCATCATCCAGGAAAATCCCGATATTGGTATCTGTAAGCTATTTTAAATTTACATTTGAGAATATAGAAGTGTAAAGTGACATTCAATTAATTAGAATGAGTCTAAAATGTTAGTCTCAATCAATGAGGAAAAATTACTTTCAGCATGTTCATATCACACGTTTGAAATCATTTCAAAATATCTTCCTAAGTATTTTCATAAACAGCTGATTTATATTTGTGTGATTGTATCTCTTGAGCTGCTCTAATTTCTATGCAAGAAGATTTTTGGATTGTTTTTCCCTCGACAGGAAACTATGAAGATCCAGGTTGTTGCCGTCCTGATCCTCGCTCTCTCTGCAGCCGAGATCTCCGAGACTCTGAACTTCTTCCAGAAGCACGTCGTCAAAAGCATGAATCCCCGAAGTTGCGACAGCAAAATGAAAAGAATAAATGCAGCTGAAAGATGGTGCAAGCCGATCAATACCAACTTCTTGGACCCAGAAGGAGTCCTAAACGGAATCTGTAACTTTGGTAACAACCATCAAACACAGGCTATAGATCTCCAAATTATTGATTGTCAAAGTTTGAGGAAATCAAACGGATACCGTCTTTGCACATACATAGCTGTCAAAGGTAGAGCAACTAGTGTTACAGTCTTGTGTGATCAAAACCGTGTGCCTTATCACCTGGATAATGTTGTGATAAAAATAAATAATGGCTAATTTTCCATTTTGTTCTGCATCTATGTTCTGTACAAGCAGCAACGACAGATATCTGGAACAACTTAGAACCTTCTCCTTCTGAATTACTATTTGAAATAAAGCATTTTCTGCATCTTGGAAATAATATTGACAAACAATAAAGTAAATTGGAAAAGAAATGTAACTACCAGACTGGTCTTTGATGTTCACTTTTTTACTATTTTTATTTTTTAAAAACAAAACAAAAAAACAAAAAAAGAAAAGAAAACTTTGCAGCACGAATAGCTTTTCAGGTGGGGGTGGTTTTTTCCCCCCACATCTCTGTACAAACAGCAGAGGGCGCTGCTGTCCAACCTGTGGCGCCATCTTTAACTGAGCTTTATAATAATAACATCGCTACATTTCATTTTGGCTTGAGCAAAATCACTCGCGCTTTCTTTAAATGCACATTTATCTGCGTCACACTTAAATTAATTTAACCAACATGACATTCAGATCTAACCACAATGAGATCAGATAGCATGCATGCTAAGGCCACGTCAAGCTTAAACATAAGCTTCTTCTGTTCTCTAAAACCAACGCCAACAGGTTTTTAGTGGCTTTAAAGACACACGAAAAAAGAAAAAGTTGATGAGATTTATTTCAGGTCAATATTTCAGTTTTTGTTGCTTTGCCTTTGGAGAGAAGATCAAATGCTCACATGCTTTTTGAATATATATATTTTTTACAGCTTTTAAACAATTTATCCCTTCAGAGGATTCTAGTTGATTTAATACAACACAATGTGGCCCAGTTTTCAGGTAGTGGGCTATAAATTTACTAGAAGAGACCTGAACATTCAGTTCTCGTAAACACAGGTGGTTTTGTGGTCACAATGGTCGGACTGATAGTTATTGGTAACTACAACAAACCTCTGTAGTTACAGGTGTTGCTGGAGAAAAGTACAAAGTGACATTTTCTTGATCGGTCCATTTTATCATCTAAGGAGAAATTCTGAGCAAGGGAAATGTTAAATATCTTCAGGTAGTTATAAACCGTTTTCGGTTGATAACTAATGAACTAACAGCTCTACTGTAGTTTTTTCTCTATTTTGAAGGTGAAAGGTATTCCTTAAAATGCAGGAAGTAAGTCCAACAGGCAACAATAGGTTTATTTCTGTCATCAAGACCATAAGTTTACAGCTACTGTTTTGCAAAAATAGTGTTTCACTATTAAAAATAATAACCAACAGCTTTGTTTAAGATTTCACTGCAGGTAATAGCAACATTCAATGTCTTTGCACAATCTATGCATGTGTGACTGCTGCTGCAGGTGTGGTTTTGTGGTCATTTCAGTGAAAATCCTTCGTCCACACTGTTCGTGATAAAACTCACCACTACATATCAGTTGAAATTCGTTTTAACTATTTATATTATATGCAACTTCAGTCAATTTTTCCTACAAGCTTAATTTCTTTTAAATCTCATCTGATTTCCTTTTCAGGATACGTGAGAAGAGACTCTCAGCAGCTCGTTTGTGGTCGGCCATGTTTGTTTTTCCCACTCATCACCTTCTCAGAACACAACTCACTGATTTGATTCAGTAGCAGCGGTGGTCCTGCGTCTTGCCTGTTGTGAGCCAATTGTGTGTTCTTATGCACATTAATGCATTATAAATATTCAACATGGCGGGATAAAATAGCCAATCAGCTTGCCTTAAACTAATTGTGTATCGTTACGTGTACATTTAGCAACATAAGAGTTACACCTTTAAATAGAAACTCCTCCTCAAAAGGAGACGCACTTTGGAGCATTAGTTTGTTTTCACACACTTCGACAACTAAAAAGGAAGAAGACTTCATTCTCTTTTTACCTCCTGTTCGTCTGGAAAAGGTGCTTCACTCATTTTGGACTAGGTAACATATTTATTTGTTAAAATCAATCAGAAATTATGATAAAGTCAAACGTTTTCTACATTTAGATAGTAAAACTCAGTATTTTTTCGAGCCTGAAACACAGCAGACACAAAAATGTTCTTAAAAAGAGGTGACTTCGTTCACGTTTTGAATCCCTCGTCTTTGAGCAAAACTAAATATGTGGGAGAACCTTTTCTCAAATTTGTTTTCTAATCTGTTCTCAAATTCTTATGTCTACTTTCAGAATCATGAAGGTCCTGCCATTCTGCCTGCTCGTCTGCTTGCTCCCCCTGCAGGCCACCACCTCCGAGTTCGTAAATACAACCTGCACCCCGGAACTGGAAAACACGCGCGAGCGCTACGAGAAGTTCAAAAGGCAGCACGTGGACAAGAAGATGGCGGCGCAAAAATGCACGGCAGTGATGAAACAGAAGAAGATCTACGACGACAACAACGTCTGCAAGAAGACGAACACGTTCATTCTCGCTGATGCCAAGGAAGTCCAGTCTGTCTGTAAGGGTCAAGGCATTTATAATAACGAAAGTCATTACACAGAGAGCAAAAAGAAGTTCAGAGTTGTGGTTTGTACGGTCAAGAAGCAAGCCAGGAAACCCAAATGTGAATACAATGGAAAATGTCTGAAAAACAGAGTCATTGCTGTGAGTTGCAAAGATGGTTTACCTGTGCACTTCGCAGGAGATCACAAGTAAACCTAATGGTGAGGAAAAAGCTTTAAAACAACTTTTTAAAATTAAAGATACTTACTATATATACACCTTTTGATGCATTTTAGGAAACAACTATGTCTTTCATTTTTTGGCGTATAAAAAAACCCAACCTAATGTATTTTCCTCAAAGTATAAACAGAATAAAGCCATTACATTGAACCTACTGCTTAATAAAGAGCTGTGTTGTGCTTATGTTGATGATCATGAATTACATGCTAATAACAATAGTGTTTCAGAAAACAAAAATTGAAATATTACATGGGATCCTGGATTAAAATAAACTGTCAGTAGAAGATGGAAAAGACTTTAATCTTCCACCTAAACTTTGTTGTTTCCAGCAACTCAATTTGAACGTTCAGTCTTCAAATCTTAAGCTACTCATCAGTTTCATAATCATGAAACTGATTCTCATCTTTCATCCCGTTATCCATCTGAAGACCTAAAAACAAAACCCAGATAACCTGATGAATATTTCTCAGTTTCTAGCATTTTTCAAATAAATATCATTTTAATAATCCTAATTGACATAAAATGAAAATGCTGCGTGTTTTCTCATACAATATATGCAAATATCTGGTTTCAACTTAATCTGCTGACAGGCTCAGAATCCTCCTTCATTCAAAGCAGATCTGCAATCTTCAAGATAAAACAAACTGTATTTGAATTAATTTGTGAAACGGTTTCCCTCCTGCACTTCTACTTCAGCTTTTCTTAAATGTGAAGAAAGCGTTCTTTAAATTCCCATTGCCACAAAGTACTGACATGGTGTGACGATTTATGAAGTTATCCATTAAGAGCAAACACTTCAAACAATTTGTTTCTTCAAATAATAAAGAAAATAGTAGAATCAACTACCTAACTGCTGTTTTTTTCTTTTGTCAGATTTACAAATTTAGAATGATGCTTTTTAATTCACCTGCTACTACAGTAAGAATCCTAACCCCACACTAAGAGCTTCTTTTTCAGATTTTTACCTGCAATTGCGGAATAAATTATAACTGTACCTTCAGTGTGGATCTCCGCAATTCTGGCCTCATTTAGTGAAGAATAGCTCAAATTAAAGAGAGGATCCTCACTCCTTGTGTCCAACAATAATAAAGGATCTTTCTGTGAATTTCCCCGACCTTAAAGGTTTTGCATAACCCACATTCCCATCTTAAAATATGCTTGATTTTTGCTGATTTCTGTTCAGATATGGGCTTATCTTTATTCAAATTGGATAAACTGGTCTCACTTTCTCACCTGGATGCTATATAACAAGCCCAGATCAGTCAGAGTGCAGCTTCAGAGACTTTCCACCGTTGAAGATCTTCCTCAGTCTGTGCTTCAGACACCCAAGACTACCAACACAGTCAGCTGAAAGGGAAAAATAACATCTGGTATGTGATTTCACTGGGATTTTTTCAATTTAATCTTTGACAAATTGCATTTTTAGCTATTTTTAACAGGTAAATGTTGATCACCTTAGTTTTTCTCTCTCCACCAGTAATCATGAAGATCCAGGTTGCCGGCTTCCTGCTGATGGTGCTCTCTGCTGTCGAGCTCTCCGAAGGGCAGCATGCGATTGAGAATAACGTCATTGACAGCATGACCAAAGAGCAGTGCAACGACGTCATGAAAGAAAGATTCAATAAGAAAGGGGGCTGCAAGTATGCAGAAACCTTCATTATAGCATCTCTCCAAGATGTGAATGATCTCTGTCAAAATGTGAAGGGGATCATGCCAGGTTTTAGCAAGAAAATATTTAAAGTTGTTGACTGTACGAAAGTTAAAGATTGTGTCTATAATGGTGATGATAGCCATACAAAAACTCAACTTAAACTTGAATGTAAAGATAATCAAGCTGTGCGCTATGTAGGTGCTAAAAGGCAAATTTAAAAAAAAGATGCATTGCTTACTTAATGCCATTAATAATAATAAAAAAGCTAATGTTTTTCCTGGTTCAATGTTAATCTGATTCTGTATACATTATCCAAAATATATTGTAAAATTTTTATCTGAACTTCCAGATAGCCTCTACTGCAGCAGCTTAACATTACCATCTTATGTTTTGACTTCTTTAATGTTGATGTTATATCCCAAATAAACCTATTGCATGATCTGAGAGACTTAAGAAATGTTTATTTCTATCTAAATGTCAGTTTTTTTTTTATGTTTAACAGATAAAATGTATTACTAACTTAAGTACAAATGAAATGGAGTTGATGGACAAAGAAGGAAAAAACAGATTTGGGAAAAGAAAAACTGGGAGCAGACATATCTTGCAGAACCTGTGTAGAGTTTTTGTTCTCTGATCAGATACAATTCATATTATCAAATACATGACTTGCTATTCAAATCCACTTTGTGATAATACAGCTGTGCTGGTCAGATTAGATAATTTTAGAGGAAATACAGGGTGTTGGATGAATGAGGGACTCAAAAGCAACAGAGAAGCAGACTGCAGGACTCAAGTTATTATTTCAAATGACTGAACAAAAATACTTACAGTTTAGGACAAATCAGGAAATTAAATACTCAACAAGGAATGAAGACAAAAGGCTGAAGGAGAGTTGATTACAAAAATGGAATCTGGTGTGACACTGGAAGAGCAAGGAAAGCAGTACCATCAAAATAAAACAGAAAACAAGGACTTAAAGACGAAAATGGAAATGAGAACATCAGCCCAAAATGAAAACACAAGAAAACAAAA